GGTTTGTGGGGTTAAGGTCCAAGGGTTCGGGAGTTGCATCTAAACCCAAGGCCCGGACTGCTGGCAATGATGCAGCATCTGGGGCCTGTCGGGCGCAGACATAGCAGACCGACCAGAATTCTTCAGGCTCCGACCTCAACGGATGCTCGGCCAGGACCTCTCGCAGCCTGGGCCAAGCAACCGAAATTTTGATTCCATAAACCCCCCTAACCACTCGCCTCGGATGCATCTGCCCTCCTCGACGTCTCAGCCTCCGAGCAGTAGTGCAGTATCAAGTGCGATGTTTAACGAGCCCAGGAATCCGGCTAGCCGAACCCAGCCACTAACCCAGCCTGCTCGAAAGATGCTCCCGATGCCTGCTGCTCCTCCTGCCAGAGACCAGTCAGGGCCACACTGGCTCAAACACGAAAACGGCCGCTCCTGCAGCCGCGCGCGAGCTTCTTCAAGTGCTTTCTGAGCTGGAGGTCGCGTCGCTCTTGTCCATCCGGTGCTTCCGCCCACCCTGCACAACTGGAGCCGCATGGTGAATCCCTTGGAACGTCCAACCTACAATCCAGGACCCCGACGACCAGAATTCGTGGTGCGAAGCTCGATTTTCGCCGAAAACAGCACTGCATCTGCGAGCAAAACCAATACACGAAAGAGAATGCCGCTACTCTCCAGCACAGACCGTGCCTCGCACGCCATACCCTGAGACCACAATCCCAGAGTGGATCTTGCATCTTCTCCACGCAGCCATGAACTCCCTAGGCGAGCAGACCGAGTACTGGCTGATTCAATCCAAATCCCCAAAACTGATCACAATTTAAGGACCCGGCACAGTAAGTCGGCACAGCCACCAGATAAGCAGGAGCACTCTCAGGGGCCGAGGATGCTGGCACCAGCTGGGCCCGGCGCTTCATGACAGCGTTACAACTTTTAACCGATGGCAGCTTAGGCGTGACACTTTATTGGAAGGTTCTTGCAGCTCAACTCTAGGCTGTGCTTTGGCGGGATGGTTTATGCGACAAGCAAGCCCATGCTCGACGAAGTCATAAGGCAAAATGCCTGCAGTTCCAGCACAAAGCTCAATAACTTTCCACATGCCCAGATGTAGTTATATATCATGGGAACATATGAGCTGATATCCGATGAGAACGACCCCCCTGTGAAATACATTTCCGAGGCTGGGGTAATGTATTGTGGGAGGTACACCCCCCCCCCGAAATACATTTATTAGGGCCCTCCCTGCCGCCGCGACGAGTCGCTCTGCCGCTCTGCCCTGGCCTCCGGACCTGGCCGGTGCCAGGAGGGCACAAAGCCGGCTCCCGGACGCGCCGCCGCGGCGCAGAGCATCCTTGCCAAAGGACTTTGGCAATTCAACAAAGGCGCCTCCGCGCAGCGCCGCGCAGGCTGGTCCCACCGATGCGAAACATCCCGACACTGATGTGCTCGGCGGATCCTTCGCCAAGGCGATTTCTGAACGCCACGGAGAGCCGTAAAAAGCCGCCGGGTTTCTGCCGGCGAGGTGGGCTTCCCTGCCGAACCTTCAAACCTGTCAAGTGCACGCGTGCCGTAGCCATTGCTGAAGATGTCTGCTTGCTGCGCCCTCTGCAAGCATCAAGCACACCAGCAGAGACGCTCTAGCTTCAAGACTTCTGCCAGATCCGGGGCCAGTGCATGGCATCCCGAGGGCTCCCAAGTGCTCGCTTCATCGGACTTTGCATGGACTTTGCCTCCGCACCGACAACCAGTTGCACTCAACCACTGGAAATGCTGGGTGGCAGGCCCTGGATACTCCCGCAGGATGTTGGCCTCGCCGCTGCGATGGCTCAAGAGGCTGAGGCAGGAAATGCCAGGAATCAACCCGAGCTCCGACCCGTGGAAAGCTATGCTCTTGCCCATCTCGTCGGCTAGGAGCACGGCGCCTTGTCAGTCGTGCATTTCATTGCACAAGCTGGCTCGTGAAAACCTCCGGGAAAGTGAGTTGACATTCGAGACATGATTGGATGTTCGACTTACCGGGCGAAGGACAGCACTTGGTGAGGAAATGGTCTCGGACTCCTGCAATTTGCTCATTTTGTCAGATGCCATCGCGGAACGAACAAGCCGCACAATGGGGAGGGAACGGGGGGGGGGGCATTTGGGGCGCGCCTTGGAAGATTTGCCAACGCTGATCCAGGCTTTTGGAGCCTCCACCTTCCTCACACCACCTGCCAGCTGCGGACCCGCAGGCGCCTAAAGGGTGCGAAGGGGCCGCAAGCTCCGCCCCTGGCCTGCCCGTGGCACGGACTGAGTACTCCTCAGTGCTCCACTCGCCTGAGCTCGCCACAGAGGCAGGCAGGACCGCTTTTGGGGTGGGCTTCTGAGGCAGGGTCTGCAAGATCTGCGCCGTCTCCTTCTCCACTGAAATCCATGTCGCGGCCAAAGATCACCTGAAGCATCGCAACGAGGGCGTGGCAATCTGAAACTTAGCAAACTGCGACTTGGCACAACAGTCAGATTGGAGATGATGGGCCGGTGCGAATTTCGAGTTCTACCCGACAGCATTTAATCAAAGAGAAAGCCTCGCCAAAATACCCCAAAACTCCCAATAGCTACTGCGAACTCTTTCTGCAAGCGAGGACAAAAGCAACGCAGATGTCTAGCTAGCAACTTGTACTGAAGTTCATTAATAACTGGGTTTGGGATATCAAGGATTATCAAGTCACACGTTCGACAGTCGGTTTACACTTGGAGGGGCTGCCGGGCTGCCTTCGAGCTACACAATCGCTCACTTCCGGAATCCAGCGCTTGCAGCTGGCTGAAGCCATGCTTGAGCGGCATTCTCAAAGGGCTTGAGCTACTTCGCCGAAGCCCTCGCCTTCTGTCTGCAGTTCAACGGGAGTCTGGCAGCATCCCTACGACTCCACCCCAAAACGCAGCCGTTTTTGTTGAACCAACCGGGCGGGGCGGGGCCCCGGGAAACAACACACTGGCACCAGTCCACGAGGTTCGGATCTTAGCGGAGCAGCAGGATCCTTGCGAAAAAACTCCATTTTCTTCACTCTCCGTTCTGTGACAGCACGCCGACGCCGAGCACGCCCCACACCACCAGCAGCTCCAGCTCCGCGTTCCGCAGCACGGAAGCGGAGCGCTGCACCGACTCTCAGGCCCGGCGGGCCTGGTGCACGGAGGAGGCCTGGGCCCCGATCCCGGCGTAGCTCTGCCGAACGGCTGCGTGCGCAGTGCAAGCGCGCAGCGTACGCGCAGCGTGTGCGCGCTGCGTGCCGCACCGCATTCTTTAAAGATGGAAGAGAAGAGAGAGTCTCGCGCTTGATCCTGTCACACTGTCACACATGCAGATTCGTGAGCTGAACATCTGGATTCACTGGATCATGAAACTAAATCCGCTACGATGGCGATGTTGCAAGCATTGCCATGGAGCCTCTTCACGCCACGAAACCTTTTGCCCTTTGCGCGAGCTGCTTCGAGGGCAGGGAGGACAGCCAGGTTCGCCTGAAGCATCCGCCAAAGCACAACGCTGACAACCCCCGGCCTTCAGGCCATGTCATGCAGGGCTGAAGTGCAGTGAAGTCTCCTAGAAGCACGCAGAGACCCACGCACATACTCATCCACCGCAGTCAGTGTCCCGAAAGCATACGACACGACAATAACCGAGCTGCGGACGTGCCAAAAGTCGATGGTCCCTGCGGCCGCTTTGGCGCAAGTCTTCGGGTGCCTCCCCAGAGCACATGCACTTCTCCACCCCTCGAATTCGAATTCCGCGGCCGATCACTCGGCCTTCCTTCATGATCTTCGGCATTGGAAGCTCATCTGGCCCTGACCTACACCAGCAACTGCATCAGCAACACTCTATATATGATATCAAGATCTGCGGCTGCAGTAAAGATCTGACTCAACATCTATGCCGTGGCTGGCAGTGGCTGGGTTGCTGGCTTGGCGGATTCGACACCTTTTTGACCTGCGGCGAGTCCGTCCACCGCAACACCGTCCTTGCTTGCACCAGTTCATTATAGCGGAAATAATCGACAAGGCAGCGCGCCACATGGATGCTCCGCTAATCAGCCAGTTAAAGTTTTGCTCAGGTCCGCGCTGTTTGGCGGCGTCCTCTGGGGGCACAGACGATTCAACGCCATTGGGCAAGTCTCGCGCCCCTTGCAATCTGCCTCTACACTTCACAAGAGCCGTCCCGAACATGAGGACGCACAAGCCCTTGATGACAACGGGAATCATTGAAGCCTGTCTCTGGATCGCGGCATCTTTGGCTTCTGAGGCCTGAAGGCTGATGTACGTTTCAGCGTAGGTCCGATGCCCGCGAACACACAATTTCCAGTATAAGTGCCAGGCGTAGGTTCCGCCATGTTGAAGCATGCCGTCCAGCAGCAAACTAAACTCGATTCATCCCCCACCTTTTGGGGTGTGGGGGGGATGAAAATGGAAGTTTCCATTTCTGACCCTCCCTCTGAGATACATGTGGACATGGGCAGATGGCATGTAAGCTGACTCGCACTCACTCGGACCATCCCCTGTCATTTTTACTCTTGCGTTTCCGGCTCCCCGGTGAGTGGCGTTTTGCCACGGCGAGCTGCGATCCTTCAGCAGGGGAGTGTCACGACTGAACCGCAGTGGCAGGAGGCTGAGACTCCGGCAGCGTCTGTGCAAGCCGACCACATCGCAAAACAGAGCCTCAGGGTGTCGCCGCATGCATCGACAAGCGTATCTCGAAAGCACCTGGGCACTCGGCCACGGCGCCAGTGCGATCCGTGCACGACCTCATAAATTTTCTTATTTTATCTTGTTCATGCCCGGGTGCGGTCTCATCCGATCGAGGCCCACACGATTCCACGATGAACCCTTGAGGTGTCATCTTCGAAACCTGGCAAACATCATGACTCGATTTTTGAGGATGCGACTTCTGTAGGAAACTGAGAGCAGGGCGAAGCTGTACGAGTAGGAGCACTCACATGTGGAGCCTAACACGGGCGATTGGTTGGTGTTCTCGAACTGGGGTTCCAAGATCAAGGCATGTGTAGCTGAGCCCCCAGCACTGGCTGTGCGAGTTTTCTCACCTCCCGCATCCAGTCCCTCAATGTCTTGAGGCCTTTCGAACCCTGATCGGGATGAGCATCGCAAAGTTTGCGAACGATAAGCTTGCCATAATCGTCCTTCTTGACATGAGAGCACGTGCACTCGAAGAAGTCCGGAGTCTGTTGGACCAGCTCGGTCCACAAAACAACCTGGCCGTCGCCCAGGTCGAAGCCGCCTTTGTCATTCAAGATCTGGAAGCCCCGGGCACTCCACAATCCTGGAAGCTTTTCCATGAATGTCACGAGGTTCGTGGTGCCCTGCATCGTGTGAGCGAAGCTGCGGTGATTGAGAACGGTGTCCGCCTCAGGTTCAGGGACACTGTGCGGCGCTGCAGCCGCGGCCTCCTGGTAAGCCTCCTCGCTGTCGACCACTTTCTGGATCGACTCCATCTGATCCTGGTTGAACCGCAAGACCATGATGGCACACTCCTCTGGGCCTGTGAAGCAGATGGTTGCCGGAACAATCTGACCGATGACGGTGCCGATAGGGTCCAGGAGATCGATGACTGAAGCTGCATGCACCGCAAACTGCCTCCCGGTCGTGCCCGTAGGACCGCACCTCCAAACTCTGGCTACTGCGCAGCTGGAGACTGTGAGCGGCTGTGTGGATGGCTTTGTCGTCCGGAGCCTTCTGCTGGAGGAAGAGCTTTTCATCACGGCTCCACGGAAGACGGTTGTGACCACGCCGAGGTGGACCTCTGGGCCTTGCCTGTAACTGTAGAGCACGATCTGGGGTTTCTCCACATCTGTGAGCGGACGAACGTGAGTGACCGTGTGGACGAACCAGGGACTGGCCGCCGCATTCATGGCAACAGCTTGGCACTTCTCTTGGACAGTCTTCCAGCCGTTGGCCCTGCTCATTCGTTTCCCGTCGGAGAAGCCAGCAGACCTGGCCAAGGCTAACTCGTGCACTAGCTTGTGATAGTCGGAGTCGCAGACGGCTTCTTTGCCGCTGAGCATGGCAGTGCTCAGGATTCCACGAGCATGATGTGTGGAAGCTGCAAGTGCACGTATGCGAGGCGTCATCAGGAGCTGCCTCTGAAGACAGGCGCCCAGCAGCTCGGAGCCTGGCTTGGAAAGGTCGAAATCTTTGAGGGTCCGCATGCGCTGGAGCAGATCATGCCACGTCCTCGGTCGGGTCGAGGTAGCACCGGAAGCATCTGTGGCGAGAACCAATGCAGCCTTGAGGGTATGGGGTTCAGGGTTTATGTTTGTTTTGGCTTAGGATGGCTTAGGGTTAGGGAGCTTTCAGATGCTTTGAGGCTGTCTCGGCCTCCTCCGTCTGCTCGGTCGTCTCGGCTTGCTGCGATGGCATCACGACTGCACTTGCAGCTGCTGCGGCCTCCTCCGGCACGGGCGGCGTATCCAACAGCTGGGCTATCTGTTGCTTGTTGAGCACGTGGTCTTCCAAGGATTCGACGAGCCTCAGGTCCTCGTCATCTGCAGGCTGCTCCCCGGCCTCCTCCTCAAAGATCATGCCCTCGGCGTCGACACCATCATCATCGTCATCGATTTCCTCCAGACCTTGTGTGACCAATGCCTTGCCGTAACCGGGCCACCATGCCCGGAAATCTGCCAGGATGACTGAGGCTGTGCGTCCCAGGGACATAAAAGCGAGCGTCCAAGCTGCGTCTTCCATGCTGTCATCAAGGACTTTGGTGACTTCGGTGCTGGGCACGGGGCTGCATCCTGTCTCGGGAGCGGTCCATTTCGCTCGGAGCTGCTCCACATGACATCTGTGGACACCCCACAGGCCTTGGCCAAAGCTTGGTGTTCCTCGATACGGACTCTTGGCACGGCCGAAGTGGTGCTCGGCAACTGCCTCCTGAAAGCATCGTGCAGAAAAGGAGTCTCTGCCGACCTCGCCTGGGTGCATGCAACCGAGGATTGACAACAACAAGCCGTGCAAGGTGTTGCGGAGGGTCGTCCTCGGAAGGCTGTACTTCTCGGCATTCTCGGCATGCTGCTGCTTCACCACCATATGGTTCATCAGTAGGAAGAAATAGCATGTCGCCGCTGCTCCTAGGCGCTCCTTCGAGGTCAACAGATCGCCGGCCTCGCCTGCCAGCGCGACGAGGCTGGACACCAATGTGTAGCCGTGGTGGCCAAAGCTGCACCAGGCTGACCGCAAGCACGCCGGATTGGTCCTCTGTGCCTCCTCCTTGTCGCTCATGGCATCGTGCATGGTGTAGGCTTTCGGCGGGAGCCCAGCGCCCAAGGCGAGGCTCAGATCGCACACGGCAGCGCCGTACTGGATGCTCCGGGTGCCCGAGACATGGTGTGCTCCCAGCCGCTTCAAGAGATGCAGGTTGTCGACGGATGCCAAGATGACCGTCGACGAGGGCTTGTGGTGGAGGACGGAGATGGGCATGTAGCGACCGAGACCTGCATTCTTGTGGCAGCAATGCTTCCAGAAGGGGAGGTCTTCGAAAGGCTCCAAGCTTTGGAGGCCAAGCGCTAGTCTTCGAGCCACATTGTTGGATGTGCCAGCATCCAAGGCGTAGCCCATGCAGGGGAGGTTGTTTGTGTCCACGTAGGCCTGCATGCAGTGGCCCAGTATCTCCACAAAGAACTCGGCCTTGCTGAAGTCTCCCTGCTCTGCTGCCGGCAGCAAGGGCACCATGCACACGTCCCACGTGTGCCGACGATCATCGGTTCGAGCCATGACTGCATGCACACTCATCCTGGCCAGTTTAGCCGAGGGCAGGCCTCTCAAGTTGTTTCCGAGAACCAAGCTGAAGTTCTTGTCGGGATCGGGGTGGTAGCCGCCGCCTAGAACGGCAACCTGCTGCTCGTCCGTGTGCACCAGGCCGACTACCTGTTCCCACGTAGGCCGCCAGTAGCTTTCGTCCAAGGCAATGAAGGCACTCCTCGTGCCCTTGCACCGGAGCAAAGAGGTGGCCACACGGATGTTGTCCGAGAGCTGAGCCTTGTTGCAAAACGCCAGCAGGGGCTTCGGTATGAGCTCAGAGTCGTACCGCAGCATTGGCTCTGACGGCAGTTTCACCCCGAACTTGTCCAGCAGCTCAGCTACCCCAGTTCCGCATCCCAGCATCCAAACGAGCTCCTGTGCCGTCTCGTTGCTTGCAGTTTTCCTGACTCGAACTAAACCGCGATCCAGCTTCGATTGCATCTCCAGGAAGCTTTGCAGCAAATACCGAACGGCCACCTTGCCAGAGAGTTGGCCGCTGGCCACTTTTGCCGCGAGCTGCATGTCCTCTTTGGCCATACGGCCCTCTGCCAAACTCTTCGCGAAGCCATTGCAAAGATGTTGGTACACGTGCCTCTCTTCCTTGCCAACCTCGTCGGGCATCGGGAGGGTTTTCAGATTGACCGTGATCCAACTGTGGAGCCTCTCCGTGCGGATCTGCCTGCGGATGCATTCGAACCTCTGGCGGATCTGGTGCAGCTGAGAAACCGGAAGCTCGGACAGCAGTCCCTCGAAGTCCTTTCGGATGGCGTCGATGCTGCAAAAATCCCTGTCGACCAGTTCATCACGTTTCTGGGCGATGTCCAGGTCTGTCCCGCAGGCTAGGACCTTGGCATAGTCCATCAGCGATAGCTTGCTTGCCCAGGTGCAGATCAAGATCCTCAGATCGCTCCGCTTGGCTAGCTCTCGGCAAACGGAGCAGGGCTCCTCCATTGAACCTCGTCCGGAGCACTCCGTGTGCCGGAGGAAGAGGATGTCATCCTGCCAGGCCCATTGGCATGTGGCTGCAGGATCCTTTGCGATCTTCGTCCGCAGGCATCCGTGCTCCACCCATTGCAACACGGACTCCGCCACCTGGTCCAAGCTAGGAACCACACCTGTGCCCAGACCGACGCCAACACAGCTCGTGGCCGGCTTGTCAATCGTGCGGTGGTTCTTGGCATAGGTCTGCTCGTGTTTCAGCAGGTGCCGCTTCGCAGACATGCAAAGCGCATAGGCGTTCACCTCGCGCTCACACTTCGTGCAGTACCACCGTTGGCCACCCGCCAGAGGCAAGTATACCCCTGGTCGCTCCTGCTCCACCCACCTCGCGAGTGTGGGCTTCTGCGCACCGCTCGGCGGACGCCCTCTGCCACTGGAGACAAGGGGCACAGGATCCTCTGCTGGCTGATCTTGCACGGGCCGGTGCTCCTGCTCAACCGGCTGGCTGCCCTCCGGCTGGTCCTGTACTGGCTGCTGCTGTTGCTGCCGATGCCGCTGCTGTGCCGATTCGATGAGGCCTTCCGTCAGGCCGTTCCGCAGAGCTCGGCAAGCCGGGCATTTCAGGATAGAATCCCGGCCCAGTGCGAGACAAAATTCCTGCCAATGTCCGGCCGAGTTCGGGACCTTATGCTTTGCATGGGCGGCCTGAAACTTGGAGTTGTAAGCGAGCTGACCCTGTTGGCACATGGCCAAGCCCCGAGACCTGTCCTGAGCCTCGCGAGCCTTCCTCTTGTCGGCCTTGCTGAGCGTCCTTGCGGGAAGGCGGCGTCCCACGGTCTTCGCGGCATCCTGCACCATGTGCTGGAGTGCCAGCTGATCCAGCATGTCCTCCTCCTCCGGGTCGTCCTCCTCCGGCTCTGCACTGGGCTCTGCCTTGATTCCCCTCATGCGAACCTTCCTCGAAGCCTTGTCAACGGAGGGTGGGCTGGGCCGGTCGTGCATCTTCTCGCTCTTGATACGTTTTGGGGTGTTCGGAGCTGGACAGAGGGCGGCTACGCTCGCCTCGGAGAAGACTGCATCTGGACATCGGGGCGGCCAGATGGCTCCTGGCGACTCCATGCATGTCAGGACATGTTTCCATGCCAGAGCCACCAGCAAGCCACAGCTCCACGTGTCCTTTTGTCGGTACTCGCACCCTTTGAGGGTCCTGTATTGACCCGCCGATGCCAGCCGCTGCCAGGATCGTCCAAGGCAACCAGAAATGCCTGTGTTTCCGCTTCAAGTAGTTCGGCCTGGACAGCAAAGTCGAAGTGAAGCACGTCGGAACACCCGCGTCGCAGAACGACGCACCCGAAATGGGTGCGGGTTGCAGTGATGCCGAGCAGTAGGTCCGAGCTGGGATGCAATGCAAGCTGCCTCTGCCGTTGCTCGGTGCTTGTGTCAGTGACGATGACATGCTGCGGCCACAGCTGGCCGTACATGTCTTTGTTTATCTGAACGATCAGGTGAAGCAGGGTGCCGTAGGAAGTCAACTGGCCGAAGCAAGGGGGTGTCCACGGCCAAGGAGCTAGCAGTCTTCTCTCGAGGTCCAGGCACACATCTCGAGCTGGCAATCGTTTGATCGTAGCTGCGACCTTGCATAGGCCAGAACATGAGCAGGGAAGTCACAAGGTTCCTGGCTTCCAGCAAGACGGCTTTAGGCTCAGACAGCGCTGCTGTCCGAGGCGATCCCGGTGTGATCCTCAGACGACCCAGCAAATTGGAAATGATGGGGGTGCGACCCCTGGAAAGCGACAACTGTCTCGAGGATGGGCGGGGTCACACCCCCGTCATTTCCATTTTCCGGGTCCCGGGCACGGTCCCGGGGAAAGCCACGTCTAGCTCGCCCGCCCAATCGCCACACTATCCCGGGAATCCCCGCAAAGGCCGGGAACTGGAAATGATGGGGGTGCGACCCCTGGAAAGCGACAACTGTCTCGAGGATGGGCGGGGTCACACCCCCGTCATTTCCATTTTCCGGGCCTGCGGTGCCATCCGGGACGGTTCCCGGCAGATGATGGCTCTGTTCGTTTTCATATGTACATATCTATATCTATTCCCATCTATTCCCAGTTCGGATCGCCCGCCCAATCGCCACACCACCCCGGGAATCCCCGAAAAGGCCGGGAACTGGAAATGATGGGGGTGCGACCCCTGGAAAGCGACAACTGTCTCGAGGATGGGCGGGGTCACACCCCCGTCATTTCCATTTTCCGGGTCTCGGGCACGGTTCCGGGGAAAGCCACGTCTAGCTCGCCCGCCCAATCGCCACACATCGCCACACTATCCCGGGAATCCACGCAAAGGCCGGGAAGTGGAAATGATGGGGGTGCGACCCCTGGAAAGCGACAACTGTCTCGAGGATGGGCGGGGTCACACCCCCGTCATTTCCATTTTCCGGGCCTGCGGTGCCATCCCGGACGGTTCCTGGCAGATGGCTCTGTTCGTTTTCATATGTACATATCTATATCTATTCCCATCTATTCCCAGTTCGGCTCGCCCGCCCAATCGCCACACCACCCCGGGAATCCCCGAAAAGGCCGGGAACTGGAAATGATGGGGGTGCGACCCCTGGAAAGCGACAACTGTCTCGAGGATGGGCGGGGTCACACCCCCGTCATTTCCATTTTCCGGGTCTCGGGCACGGTTCCGGGGAAAGCCACGTCTAGCTCGCCCGCCCAATCGCCACACATCGCCACACTATCCCGCCGAAAAGGCCGAAAGTGGAAATGATGGGGGTGCGACCCCTGGAAAGCGACAACTGTCTCCAGGATGGGCGGGGTCACACCCCCGTCATTTCCATTTTCCGGGTCTCTGAGGCATTGTCCGACCAAGCCCCCGGCATGCGCAGGTTCGGGATGCTTGCTCAGTCTTGACCTCAAGATGCCAAGCTTCCCAAGGTTTCAGCAGCGAGTGCACGTGTGTGTGTGTGCACAATCCCGAAGCAGCACAAATCAGGAGACGACCGGTCCAGCACATGACTGCTCCTGACCGGAGACAACAACCGGCACAGCAACGGCACGGACGATCGCGATTATGGGGCAGTCCCCACCTGCTCTGGCTTCGCGGCTGCGGGCACACCGTCCACTGCAGCACCCTGCCATCGGAGCGATCTCGAACCCGACCCCAAACCCTGAGCCCTGTACAAGGCTAGGTTTGGGAAGGACAGCCAAGGGCCAGGGTCCACAGCCTCCAGAACCAGAGGTGTCGGTGGAGCCGCCTCAGGAAGGCAGCATGCACAAGATGTGAGCATGCAAAGATATGCAAAGCATACAGAGCGCTCGCTTCTATGTTTGAGCTCGTGCGGGCAGTCGCGAGAATCCCCAATCACGACGTGACGGCTTTCTATGCTGCCAAAATAAGCTCATGTACGCTCAGCATGACTTCTGCATGGAGCGGCCTGACTTCCCCATGAAACTCCTATCAGGCTTTGCGGCCACCTTCGGGATCCTTCGAGGCTGCCTCTGTCGAGCTTCTCGATGCATCCTGCACCTGACGATCCTCTGGAGGTGTTCGAGGTGCACCGCCCTTGGACAAGGAAGCCGGAGGCGTCGATGAACACGGCTGCAGCTCCTGTGCGTCCTTCTTCGGCGGCGACATCTCATCACACTGTGACTTCGTCGGGGTCGCAAAGGACGGGGCACTGCTCACCGGCGACATGGCCGTCCAGTCTGGAAGTTGTCCTTTGACCCAATGGCGCTTGGCCCGCTTCTTCGGTGCCGCTGGGGTCATGTCCGGCATCTGACTCCAGTCAGGCTCCAGCTGAGACATGTCGGGGGACACATCCAGGAAGCGGCGAGTCCTAGGCGGGGTCGTCACAGCTCCGTCGGCCAAGTCCATCAGCACGGCCAGCAAAGCAAGATCCAAGCAAGGCAAGCACCAAAACCTCGGGTCCAACACAGTGTCTCGGGCCAAAGAACAGGCCACGGGCCAGCGAGTTCAATTGCCAAGCAAACACGACACCACGAACAAGGCGCCCAGCATCAGGATAGTCCTTGAGGTCCGGGCACACACCACAGCAGTCATGCCACCGGCAGCCATTGGCAGATCCTGATGTGGGGGCAGGTGCAGAAGGCATCGGCATGCCAGGGCACGGCATATATGGCCTGGTCCAAGCCACCACTTTGCCGCTCATCAGGTGCACCTCGAGCAGCAGCCTCGTCCTGACCAAAGGGCACGGCAAGCCCTAAACACTTAAGAGTTATAGATCCGGTCATCCATGACAATCACATATTTGAATCAAGTATAGAGTCTTGATCAAATATTGCAGATTCCAACATATAAAGATTGTTGACCAAATATATTGGTCGACCCAAATATATACAAAAGGATATGAAATTGATGCAAAGACGCTCACTCTTCTTTTCACGGCACAGCCGAGAGTCGTGGGAAGTTTTCAAGGAAAACGAATGTGCACAGGGCGTGCACCGGGCACTAAGAGTGCCCCTCCACTTAAGCAGGGGCACACGAGTGCCCCCCCAGAGTCCAGTCGCACGATGGAGTGCAACGTGACCACATTCTTCCCCCCCGGGCGGGTTGGGTGGGATCAAAAATTCTGGCTCGATCTCGAGACAGCTTCGATGATTGCAGATTCAATCATGAACAAGTGTGCGTTAACCGCATGGTTTAAAAATCGTTACTCGACGTGAGAAACGAAATCATGCAACAGCATTGAAAGTTGTTAAAAGTCTGGATTGTGAAGCACTACTAAGAGTAGCGCAAAGATTGTCATGGCCCAAAATTTTGTTGCTTACAAAATTTCGTTTGACCTAGGATCTATAAAACATCGACACGCACGCGTGAAGTGATGCTTATAGATCCGGTCATCCATGACAATCACATATTTGAATCAAGTATAAGAGTCTTGATCAAATATTGCAGATTCCACATATAAAGAATTGTTGACCAAATATATTGGTCGACCCAAATATATACAAAAGGATATGAAATTGATGCAAAGACGCTCACTCTTCTTTTCACGGCACAGCCGAGAGTCGTGGGAAGTTTTCAAGGAAAACGAATGTGCACAGGGCGTGCACCGGGCACTAAGAGTGCCCCTCCACTTAAGCAGGGGCACACGAGTGCCCCCCCAGAGTCCAGTCGCACGATGGAGTGCAACGTGACCATATTCTTCCCCCTCTCGACTATGCGTTACGTTGCTTCAAGAGTGGCGCCTGTGACAAAGCAAGTCGGCACGTCACGAGTGACGGGACCAAGGAATGCCAGCTCCTCCCATCTGCCTCGGGATGGCGGATCCGCGATGTTGCTCTGGCTCGGTACACGATGAAACCACGGCAAGCACGGGCGTGCTTCATCGGCGGCCTCCAAGTGAAGAAGGAGACTCCTCCAAGATGCATCGATCGAGTTCGAGTTGATGCAAGCACTCAAGACGCCGGAATGGTCGACGAAAAATATGCATCGTTCGCCATCAATGTAACTCGACCACAGGATCCTGGCAAGCACGACCGCGTAAAGCTCGACCTGCCCTATAATGTGTTTCCTGCCCTCGGCCCATTGCTTGACGAGCTTGCTAGGAACCCTACAACCGAATGCCCTAGCAACACCCTTGCCGGGGACAAAGAGAACCCCCCCGACCCCAGTACTGAAGCCGCCCTCGCAAGGGTCGCATGCGCCATCTGTGAAGATGAGGACTGGGTTCGAGGCAGGGCTCGTCACAATGGCACGCGGCCTGCTCGCAAGAAGTCTTGCCCTCAGAACAGCCAAGGCATTCGATTGAGTATCCGTAAGGTTCAAGACACCCCCTCTGTCACCGAAGAGCCTAAGGTCGGCCAGGGCCAATCGCCCTGTGCGACCAAGCAGCTGAGCATCTGCGAAGCGAAGCTTCCCAAGAAGGGATGGCAGCTCCCGCGTGTCTACCTGGCCCTTTTCAAGGATGCGGCCCAAGGACTGTTCAAGCATGGCAGCTCGTTCGGGCTTGTTCGATACGAAGATGCGGCCCATGTCAGGATCGGAGGTATCCAGCACGACACCCAGCGTTTCTGCAGTGCACGAGAACGGCTTTTCTTTCTCGGACAAGGTGAAGCCAAACAGGTCCATGAGGGCATGAACTGCATTGTCAGTCCCGCCAGACAAGAACGAAGGGGTCATTGTCGGGAAATCGTCATAGTAGCAAGTTACGGCCACCCTCAAATCCCAAAGAACCCTCTGCAGGAATAATGCAACCCTGTTAAACTGCATGACCGAGGCTGAAGCTCCGAAAGGAAGAGTGTTGCACACAAAGGCCTTGACGGCGCGGGAGCCCGGCTCCCTGAGCAGGATAACGGATTTCGGCCTCTCGCTAGGGTGCAGTGCGAGCTGCTTGTAGGCAGCTTGAAGATCGTAAGTTTTGCAGTGAGGACGGACACGGTCAGGGTCCTTCCAAGCCGTATGGAGGGGTCCCTTGAGTCTCTCACCCGTGCTGAGCTCAAGATCGAGGGATCCTGAAGATTTTGCCGCACGGCAAACTTGCATGCACAGCCAGCAAATCTCATCAAGGGCCTTGAGAGTGACACGTTCAAAGCATCCGAAACAAGAGTTCACAGCGGCTTCCGAGAAGTCATCGATCGCACGCCACTTGCCCTGCCAGACTGCAAAACGCCGGCAGGCGTTCCAGCCTTCAGGGAACTTGTCCCCCAAAGAGTCAACGTCGATCGGGCCGTCAAGCCAGCACTTCCCCGATCTGTTAGACTCCTCAAGCGTCATGTCCCAAAGCTCCTCGGCATAGTCATGGTCCTTCTGGGCTCTGACTTTTTCAAGCAGGGTTTCCCTCCGGAGGGGAGCACTTGCCCAGAAATCGTCAAGGTCCATCGTGGCAGGTTTGACATCACTAGCGAATACACCCGTACGCCCCAAGTATCCCGTTAGCTTAAAGCCGGCAGCCAGGTCATCGAAGAGGGCCGTGTCAGGCCACGACAAGTCGGCGGCAATCCTCTTCATGAGTGCGATGCGCTTACAACTAAGGATCTTCCGCACACAAGGGTCCATCGCCGATCTGATTTTCTCTTCTTCGGGATCAAGCTGCGTGGCGAGGGCTCGCCACTGTTGTAGCTTCAAAAGACGGTGCTTCATGGTGTCAACCGGGCTCTTCGTAAGAGTGTCAAACAAGACTCGCAAAAGTTCATCTGGAAGTGATTTGGCAGAATCGAAGGGGTGCACAACCAACTTTGCCTCGTTCAAGAAAGCTTGCATGGATCGATAGACGCCAAAAGTGTAGAACTTGTTCCCCTCTGGGAGTCGCGAACCTCCCCTTTCAACTGACTCCCGGAGGAGCTTGGCGCCTGCAGGGACGCCGTGCCAAGAAGCCGAAAGGCAGTGCTTGGAGTTGAGAGTGGGAGCCGCAGCACTGGCGACTGACATAGTGTAAGCAAATTCAGAAATGATTGGCGGAAACTTGCGGCCGCGAGGTTGCACCTGACCTGCGGCACGCGCAGCAGAAACCTTGGAGGCCACTAGGCGTTCAGGCGCAATCCCTCGTGATGCAGCTGACTTATCCACGCATGAGACAATCCTTTCGCAAAGAAGTTTGGGATAGCCCGTCTCCTCAGCTGTCGCAAAAGTATTGCCCAGCTTACCCCACGGCAAGTGCGAGGAGCATCCCGGGCATGGTCCCGAAAGGCAGTGCAGAAGCTCCGAATTCGTGAGGAGGGCGGTGGCCTTCTTGCGTTGTGACCCGTGGCGGCACGAGTCGAATGTGACGAAGGAGTGCTTGGCGAGCAGCTCGGCCCACCTCGGGAGCTGCCACAGGTAACTGTGAAGAGGGTTCTCAACAGAGAAGGGAACATGCGGCATGGCATGCAGCAGCCAGTCACAGAAGGCGGCCATGCTATCATAAATGGTGTTTGCACTGTCCACCCTCGCCTGCTCCACTGGTGGGAGGCCGGGCAGGCCGCGCACATGACGGACCGAACGCAATGGCTTAGGGCCGGGACCGCACTCCCGAGCCCGGCTAGCGGTGCCGCATGGAGGAGCCATGTGCACCCAGGCAACATCGTACTCGGAGCAAATGCGTCGCAAGAAAGACCAAGTGCTGGCCAGCCGCAAGTCGAGCTGTAAGGTGTGCACACACGTCCGCTGTTTGTTGTGATGCCAGTCGATGGGCACGGCTGTGTATCCGGCCTCTTTGGCAACATAAGACAGCATAGCAGACCCACTACAGATTTCCAGAAACAGCGGTTTCTCATGTCTGGGAGTCGGCTCGGCTTGAGCTTGCGATTTCAGGCGTTTGCAAGGAGGGTCGGCGGGTGAGGCGGGACTAGAACCCAAAGGAGCGGGGGCAGAAGGGCTAGACCCGAAAGGTGCACACTCCAACGGCAAAACAGGCTGAAGAGGCGGAGGGAGCTGTTGCGCCGCGGCAGCAGGATCACACGGAAAACCCAATGGGAGCAACGTGGCGGGTTGCCCACCTGAAAGAGTGTAGAGTGTGACGACCCACCGCTCACCTGTGAAGGGCATCGTCTTATGCCACAAGTTGCACGGGAAACTAGTGGGGCAACAAAACGTATCTACGATTTTACCCCTGATGTGACTGTCGCCTGCGACAGTGGCCTGAGAAGTGCCCGACGCATCTTCGAGCCAAAGCTGGCCGCCAGTGAAGGTGCCAAGCGTGAAAGTGTGGTTCAGCGAACCTGTTTGGTTCCCTGAGTCCCTGTGGAAATCTGACAAAGTATTCCTGCCCACGCAGATTGCATTCGAGGAAGCTTGAGGCAGAAGCTCCTTGAAAACTGAGTTCAGGCGCAATACGAAGTCCTGCATGGCAAGGGTGGCATGTGTCAAATGTTGCGGATTGCTGGCCCTGGGCCCAAAGTTGTAATACCCCGACTGCGCGGAGTCCACGGACGAAACAGACTTACGTTGCAACACAGACTTTGGCCACGCAGCATTCTGAAGCAATTGCAAAAGTGAAGAAAATTTGCTTGTATCCACACTAGCACTCTGCTGACACGGATCAAGATGCACTAAAGGAGAATCTGTCGGCGCAGGGGAGGCCTGCGGCGATGCAAAACTGTGCCCAGCCAAGCCTGGGCAATCCCGACTCCGAGTCGAGCGCTGCGAGCTGCAGGGCTCGCTTTCCGACTGTCACTCCTGCTTTTGGCCTAGAGCCTCAGCACGCAGCGGACAGTCCAATGCAGGGTGCGACTTGCCGCACTTGGGCCATGCGCAAATGTGCAGGCCACGCACGCATCGACCGCGAGTCACGGTTTCCCTGCACGTTTTGAGTCCATACCCAAAACATATGTTTTCACCAGCATTGGTGCATGATCTGCAGCCCGCCAGAGCGGCGGGAACTTTTCCGGATCCTTTGGTGCCCTTGGCACCTTTCCCTGTGCCCTTTCGGCCTTTGCCTGGGCGATCATACGGGCCCGGCCCGTGAGGCCTCGGCGGCGGTGCCACCTGCTGCGTGACTGAAGCGCCTGCTGCCCGAGGCATGGGCTGAAGCAAATGAAGGACCTCTGGTGACTGCCATGTGTCCTCGAAGATGGCGTCCAATGGACGCCCCCCAGCTTTGAGCTGGATGCCAGAGCGAGTCGCTTCTCCGAGAAGCTGCCAAAGCTTCCTGTCAGCCTGCTGACACTGATCAAGCGTGGGCTGCATGTGCGTCGACGGAGGTGCGTCGAGGCGCGCCGCAAGAAGGCGCTCAACCCACATGTGGTGACGATGGTAGTCAAGGATGTTCGCCATCTCCATAGCGATGCCGCGCCTTTGAAGCGCGAGCTGCAAGAGCAGCTCCGTGCTCGTATCGGCACGGACCTCAACCTTGGTCTCCGACCTGAGCTTGCCCGTACTGTCCAGCGAGAAGAAAGGCTCTCGCTTTGCCCCTGTCGAGGCCTCTTGTTCTTTGGAAACAAGCTTCTCCCACGGGACAAACTGCAGCTTGTCCTGTTCATACTGGGACACGAAGGAGTCCACGAGGCTATCTGCAGGCTCAAGACGGTTCTTGATCGAAAGGCCCACAAGGCGTTTGCTCACTACCTCGAACCTCTCAGATCTCTCCGGGACGCTCAATTTTCTTGGGATGGATTCATCCGTCCGCTCCACAAGCATCTTCATTTCCGAAGTGGTAACAGCATATGCTTCATGAAATAACCTTCGGAAGGAGCTTTTCTGCCCTACAGAGGGCGGCGTCCCGAGAGCCGACTCGAACGCCGCAATGAGGTCCTTGTCATCGCCAGAGCCCGGCGTGTAGCTCGTCATGAAAGCGACCTTTGCGAGTGAATCCACACCCACCTTCTCGAGTTTTTCGACATCCGCAGATGCCAAACCGACCTGGGCACATCGTGATTTGAACACTGGCCCCGACTCGGAGAAGGCCGCCATGGTGTGATGCTTGGAACCCCTACGAGCTAAAAGCAGCTGCAGGAGGGCTTTGCTCTTCACCAAATCACTCATCTTGCAGGACACGACACCCGCAGATCGCTGCTCTTGCACGATAGCACAAATGTCAACACTTGACCGGCTTGCGGAGCGCACGTGCACGACATCACCCTTTTGCACAAAATTGCAGGCACGAGCCGAATGCAGAGTCATGTGCCCTGCTGCACAACCAGGTATCTCCTGAAGCACTGCTTGCACCTTGGATGCAAAACTGCGGGTCGCGCCTCCAGCTTCCTGTACTGACCCGAAATGGTCCTACCGCAGCCTAGGTTGGCACCGGCTTCGTCGGCAGTGATGTGCACTACCCTGGATTGGCGATGCCGAAAGAAAACACACGAGGGATCAATCTTGTCAAGGTCGACCTTCCCATGCCAGTCCAAAGCCTCGGCAACACAAGCTTCATCGCCCGAGTGGTCGATCTCCTCCTCGTCCTCGGAGCCCTCCGAGTCTGATGACTCGATCTCGTCGCCAGGGGGATCGGCATGCGCCGACAGCTCGGAAGCAAGCTGCTGCCCCCTTGGTTTGTCGGGCTTGAAGGCCCCCGATGACACCTCGTCGATCATAGTTGACAAAGCCCTGAGCGGAGCCGACTGGGCGTCGGACTCATAGATCAGCTCTGACCCCGCACCTGAGGCTCGGGACGTGTGATACCCCAGGAGGGCCCTCTGTTCTCGGGGCATACCACGCTTGCTTGCCCAACTCAGCAGAGTCCTCTTAAGGCTATGTGTCCCCACATTTGCAAGGTAGGGATCGCTCTGAGCGTTCCCTAGCAGGCTCCTGAGCCACGAGCAAGCCTGATCGCACGGAAGTGGGATCATCTTCCACGAACCATTCGAAGAAGGGCAGGGGAGCAACGGGTCGTTCGGCTTGATCGCAAGACCCGCCTCTGCCAAAGCGTCAAGCCACGCATCGGCCCATGCACACTTGATGCCCACTTTCCTGGCAGCCATTGGCAAGTACCTGGTCTTGCGTTCCAAAGTGAAACTAGTCTTGGACCTGCCCACACTGCACTCCAAGTAGAGCGGCGAAACAGTCAGCGATGCCACGTTTTGCCCGTCACTGTATCGTGCTCTTGCATAAATCAAGAAGAGAAAGAAGCCTGCGGCGACACGGTCCTGCAAAGACCTGTCTTCAAGCTTGCAACAAATCCTTTCAAGAAGAATGACATCGGAGACCCTCAGAGGATTCCGTTGCTTGAGCTTCCTCTTCTGCATGTAAAGCTTCGACGCAAGGCCGCGGACACGACCCGAAGTGTAAACCTTGTCACACCCTTCCAGGCCTACCACATGCTGAGCGAAAGCAACCGAAGAGAGAAGGCTCCTGAACGAAGTTGCCGCTGCTGTGGATTTCTTCTCCTCGAAGTATGCGTAGACAGCATGCTCGGTCAAGGGAAAAACAAACGGCATGTTCCCCTTTGCCCAAGAAACAAACCGCAACAAGCAATTCGCCCTGGCATTGATCGTCGAAGTAGCCTTGGCAGCAAGGCAATCCGAAATGCTGTCTGCAAGCGATCCTGAAGAGATCCCTGACGCTTTGCCGGCGTAGAAGTTCCTAGCTACACCGAAGGTCAAGGGCTCGACCATGACAAGGCTGAGCCACTTATTCACGGCAAGATTTCTCTCCTCATTGATCATAACCTCCCAAGAAGTATGTTTGAACTTGGCCATTTTAGCACACACTTGCTCAAGCCCTTCCGACCTGACGAAGCGAGGGTTCGGCACGGCAGGCTGATCGGCAGAAGGGTCCATAGGGACTACAAGGGGGAGAGGTCCAAGAGGAGGCGGCAAGCGGGGCTTAGGGTCAAAAGCTACGAGTGCATTGTTCCAAGGGGTCTTCCAAATAGACCTCGAGTCTCGCAGGCACGACCTCAGGTGAAGCCCGTAACTCGAAGGAAGGGAGCTGTTCTCATCATCCCCCATTCTACTACAGCCCCGAAGTACCCCAGTGCAGGCACAATCACTGAAAGCGGAAAGCGCGTGAAACGCGCTGCACAAGTTGCTCCAGCCACCCCAAGCGAAGGGAGTGCTGGTATCTTTCGGCCTCAAGATTCACAAGCTGTTGGCGAACTTCCTGCAGTTCTGATCGCAGCAAGGCAAGCTGCTGTTCAAGGGAATTAACTTGAAGCTGAACTGCGTGCAGGTGGGCCGAAATGGCCTCTTGAGTGTCGCTGGAAGACGACTCGGCCGCAAGGGTCGAGCTCGGATCCATCCGAGCCCCCGGCGGGGCTCTTGCACGGTGCTCTAAGAGCAACACCGAGGTAGGAGGGCTCAGGCCTGTTAGACGAAATTACAAGCCTCTAGAGAGCCCTCAAATCAAAAATTCTGGCTCGATCTCGAGACAGCTTCGATGATTGCAGATTCAATCATGAACAAGTGTGCGTTAACCGCATGGTTTAAAAATCGTTACTCGACGTGAGAAACGAAATCATGCAACAGCATTGAAAGTTGTTAAAAGTCTGGATTGTGAAGCACTACTAAGAGTAGCGCAAAGATTGTCATGGCCCAAAATTTTGTTGCTTACAAAATTTCGTTTGACCTAGGATCTATAAAACATCGACACGCACGCGTGAAGTGATGCGTGGATTGATGTCCTCTGCCGGTTGTGCTTGATCCGATGCGACCTACAGCAAAGCAAACGAAGTGAAGCCAGGACCACTCGCCAAAGACCCGAAGCATTCAGTCTGAGCTCCAGGCAGATGAAGCGCCCGGTTCCAGTGCTACCACGACCTGATGGTGGCATCGCGGATGCAATCGGTCGGAGGCTCAAAATCAGGGTTTTGCAAACCCCCATTCTCGGCTCGAGAATGGGGGTTTGCCCGAGGCCCTAAAAACCAATGTTTTACAAACCCGATCAAACCGGACCCCGAACCCTGAACCCCCCGAAGCGAATGCCTAGGAAGGCTCAGGCCAGGGCCGCCCGAGCATCCGATGCCAAAGCTTCGCTGACCTGGCAAGAAACCGCTTGTGTGCCAGAACCACCAAGGCAGCCAGGATGGAACCTCGGAACGTGGATCGGGAATAGCTGGCTCCTGCAACAGGCTGGGGTGTAGGTGCGGGGGGCCAGAGGAGTGCAGTCGCAGTGAGCCGGTGTCCAGAGCATTCACCGGGATCACGACGGCCTGGTGCACCTAAGACGCCACAGGGGTGTAGGGTTTGTGGGTTGCAATGGTTCGCACACAAGCAACGACCAAGCTGAGCAGCAAGCGGCCAAAGGATCAGCTTGAACAGCGGATGATGACCCAGCTTGCACCGGAACGACCTGATGTTGTGTGACCGAGAACACCAGAGATGGCCACAAGAGCAAGGTCCAGGCCGATGTCGAAGTAGAAGCAGCTGCGACCTGAGCAGACCAGCAATGCTAAGGAAGGAAAGACAAGGCTG